CAGAAAATACAGACAACCACACAATGTTTATTATAGTTCGTACGTCAGAAAATACAGACAACCACACTCTTCACTATAGTTCATACATCAGAAAATACAGAAAACCACACTGTTTACAGTGGTTCATATATCAGAAAATACAGACAACCACACTGTTTACTATAGTTCATACATCAGAAAATACAAACCACACTGTTTACAGTGGTTCATACATCAGAAAATACAGACAACCACACTGTTTACAGTGGTTCCTACTTCATAAAATACAGACAACCACACTGTTTTCAACATTTCGTACATCAGAAAATACAGACAACCATACTGTTTACAACAGTTCATACATCAGAAAATACAGACAACCACTGTTTACAACAGTTCATACAACTGAAAGTACAAATTACAACAGTACGTGCAATACTTAATACAACTGAAAGTACAAGCTATCACAGTGTGTACAATAGTTCATAAAATTAATTCATAAAATTGTTATCAAACTAAAGCCAGATTCTTTAACCTACCAAAGACTCCTTGTTTCAGGCAGACAGGTTCCAACTGGATCAGTCCTCGTTCAGAAATGTCCAATCTCGTGTCACTGCTTACTCGGCTGTAAGGAGTCTCTGCTACACACGTGTAGGTACCTCCGTCGCGAGGAGTTAGGCAATCAAGAAACAATCGGGACCAGGTTTGGCTAGTTCCAACCAATGGAGGTATGTTAAAGTTCCCATCATCCATTGCATCCGACTGAATACTGTCTAAAGTGCCCTTGTTTTTTTCAAGAAAAAGCGATATCAATGATTGAACACAACGATAAAATAAATTATTTTTTGTCACTTTTATTTTGCTGAAACTTAATGTCCAGTTAGTGCAGGGAGACCTCCCACGATTTTGAGAACGACTTTTTGAAGGACCTATTTAATCCTCAGCGTTTAATTGCCCAGTGGTATATATGTATGGGGGGAGGGGGCGACTTAGGGCAGCTGGTAAAATCTGTTTGGTTTCCTAACATGCAAAATCTAATGTTTCCTGACCAATTATAAATATCAGATCGTGCATTAAAAGAAATTGTGAAAATATTCAACACCTTCAGTTTGACAAAGAAAGATTAGGTTTAATGTTGCATTTAAATGACATTTTGTAGTCACAAGTTAAAACTTGTGACTAATATTTCAGAATATACTAAATAGTATTATCACATACAAAAAGGAAAAGGGCGGGAAGGGGCCGGGCAACCAGGAATGGCTCCAGTTGATACGATACTAAGTTTGTCTGTTTGTAATTAAGCGCAAAGCTACACAATGGCCTATCTGTGCTCTGCCCAGATACTAAGAAACAGGCCATTGCAACTTTTATAAAAACACGATTTCACTCGGGGGGGGGGACGAATTTCTAATTTGGAGCTCACATATTTGTATATATATTCTTCAGTTCTATCTTTTATGGTTAAGTTTTGGTTTGTGGTTAATTTCACTCAAAGCTACACGAGGGCTATCTGGGCTAGCCGTCCCTAAATTAGCAGTGAAAGATTATAGGGAAGGCAATTAGTCATCACCCCCACCGCCAACTCTTAGGCTACTCTTTCACCAACGAATAGCGGGATTGACCATCACATTATAACGGCCCCACGGCTGAAAGGGCGAGCAAGTTTGGTGGGGCGGGGATTCTACTTAAGAAAGAGGTAAAACCCACACGCTTTCAATTGGTAGCCTTGTCTTGTTAATAGAAAGAAATGTTTAATCACATATATTAGGGAAACAATATTTTACTCTTATAATCTGGTTGAATTTGTGCCCAAGAGATGTCTTCAAAGTACTGCAACAAATCGAAACCGGCACCAAGTTTAAGACTATTGACCAACAGACTGAAATCGGCATTGGATAAACAAAATCATGCAATTTGTTTGTTATTAAATCTTCAGATGTGGTAACATTGTTTACAGCTATTGCAAGTGTTAGCAATGTGGTAACATTGTTTACAGCTATTGCAAAATTAGCGATGTGGTAACATTGTTTACGGCTATTGCAAGTGTTAGCGATGTGGTAACATTGTTTACAGTAATTGCAAGTGTTAGCGATGTGGTACATCTCTGACACTTGCAATAGCTGTAAACAATGTTAGTAACATTGTTTACAGCTATTGCAAGTGTCAGAGATGTAGTAACATTGTTTACAGCTATTGCAAGTGTTAGCGATGTGGTAACATTGTTTACAGCTACTGCAAGTATTAGCGATGTGGTAACATTGTTTACAGCTATTGCAAGTATTCGCGATGTGGTAACATTGTTTACAGCTATTGCAAGTGTCAGAGATGTAGTAACATTGTTTACAGCTATTGCAAGTGTCAGAGATGTAGTAACATTGTTTACAGCTATTGCAAGTGTTAGCGATGTGGAAACATTGTTTACAGTTATTACAAGTGTTAGCAATGTGGAAACATTGTTTACAGCTAATGCAAATGTTAGCGATGTGGTAACATTGTTTACAGCTATTGCAAGTATTCGCGATGTGGTAACATTGTTTACAGCTATTGCAAGTGTCAGAGATGTAGTAACATTGTTTACAGCTATTACAAGTGTCAG